AGCCAGTTTCTTCCCGTGTGTTGGGTAACAGGTAATTGGCGGGAAGAACTGGCTCGGTGTCACTCTTGCTGTGCCATTCTCCCTCACACGGGGATGCGAGCGCCTTTCTTCTCCCAGTAAAGTTCCCCGGTTGGCGAACCCTGGTCGAGCGTCCTCCAGCACCCCTGGCAGTCAGACTTGGGGGAGCAGTCTGACGCCAGGCCCAGTACTGGTGTTAGCATGCCCGGACGACCTTTTCCTTAAGGCTCGCTTCCCCATCGCTTCCCCATTGCCAGGCTGAAAAGAACAAATGGGAAAGATTTGAAGCAATCTTTCACTGAAGGTTGAAATCCCTTCCAAAAACTTTTTTGTGGACGGAACAACAGCATGGCATTCTCCAGCAGCGATGTACTCACCATTTGGTCCCCTTCGGTACCAAGGTCAGTGAATTTGCGCTGGGGCTTTGGGAAGGTTACGACCTTAGCGTAGCTTTGTCTTGACACACTACAGCTTGTCAACATTTTCAGCGCCACAGTTGTGACGGTGTTCAGGTTGTGGCATTTTCTATAGACCCCTAATGTCGTCACGACATAACTCGTAGTGACCAACAGATAGGGAACGGCTCGGTTACGTCCATAACCCTCGTTCTGTGATGGAGGGAACGGAGACGTTATGTCCCCATGCCACAACCTTGAATCACTTGCTGTTGCCGGGACACGTTCTCGGCTCCTCAGCGTAAAACCTAATGAGTGGACGCGCGCTGTCACCTTATATACCAGTGTGCACGGGGAGTGGCTCAGCGTGCAAAATCCACTAGCCAATTTTTATTGGCATTTTCTCTTAAACTCAGAGATGATTGGGCTCCTAAGTTAGACCCCTAATGTCGTCATGACATAATGTCTCCATTCCCTCCATCGGGGATCGAGGGTTACGTACGTAACCGAGACGTTTCTATCTGGTTGCACCCCTGGCTAGGACTTGCTCAAATTTTCCTACTGTCTAAGCAGGTATTTACTAGGTTTTGTAACCGAGTAAGACAGAGAGCTGAGAGAGTTGAGTTGAGTGGGGTTAAATGGATTGTGCCTGCTCAACTTTTAAGGGGAAGAACTTTTAAAGTTGAAACCTTAGTGAGGAAGTGCCTGCGGGGAGAGAGAGAGAGAGAGAGAGAGAGCGAGAGAAAGAGAGAGAGAGAGACAGACATGAGATCCATTACACAACACCAAACAGAGGAGATTCACATCCACGGCCTGTCTTTCTCTCTCTCTCTCTCTTTCTATCAAATTAAACTGCCATGCTGATGGCTTGTGATTACACACATTCATGTCACCTGTCCGTTTCTTAAAGATTCTCACTGTGTCCACTGTGACAGTGATTGAAACACATGAAAGGCCATGTTTATGTGCCTCATTATGTACAGGAGCAATAAACAAATCATCTAAAAGCTTTAAAGTAAACAAGAAACAATATTTGCAATCAATTTAACTTTTGTAATGTTACGTATTTCAGAGCTGTCATGTTATATGGTATTAAACTACTGGCTGCAATGAATAAAACAATGACAACAGAGTTGATAACCAATAGCCCACATGGCCTGGGTGACATCAGCTGAAAATGAAATGAAATAAAATAAAATAAAATAGCCTGGGTGACGTCAACTGAAAAGCAAAGACATTTTAGAGGTAAAGAAAGTTTTATGTAGGATTCCAAAAATAAACTTTTTTCCCCCTTTGGATCATTATTTATTATTCATTTCATTATTGTTATTGAAAAATCTAAAATATTTAAAAATATTTTAATTGAAATAAAATCTGTTAGTTGAAATAAAGCTGAAATAAAATTAAATATAAATTTTAGAATGCAAACTTAAAGCAACTTAAATGAAAATTAGAAATGTTTCCTAGTCAACTAACTGTACTAAGTGCTAAAATTACTAAAACTAAAATTAAAATAATATAATATAAATTAAAAACTAAATAGAATAAAGAAAATCACAAAAACATACATTTACTAAAACTTAATTAAAATTAAAATAAATTAAAAACTGAAATAAAAATTGAAAATATATAAATAAACAAATTAAAATTGCCTTGTCAACTAAATGAAAAAAATATGTTGAAGTACTAAAATTACTAAAACTAAAAATTAAATAAACACAAATTTAAGCTTAATAGATAAAAAAAAATAAAAAATGCCAAAAGCACATAAGACAGTTACTAAAGTTACTACAACTTAACTAAAATAAGTTGTAGTATTTTATCTGTGTTTTTTTGTTCTGTCACTCTGTTACACTGTGGAAGCTTCTGTCACGAAAACAAATTCCTCGTACGTGTAAACATACCTGGCAATAAAGCTCATTCTGATTCTGATTCTGATTCTGAAATTAAAATGAAAAATAAAAATAGAAAAATAAAAGCTAATAAAAAATACAAAAACTCTAAATAGTATACAAAAATATTAAAATAACAGATAATACCAGAAACACAAGACCAGGAACTTGTCTTAAGAAAGTAAATAGATTCAATTCCGACATCATGTTGACGGTAAAGGGATCCAGCCTGACTGTGTGTGTGTGTGTGTGTGTGTGTGTAAGTGCACTCCTTTAGTAGGCAGAGTCCATTAGTGCAGTTCTGTGACTGTAGCGTGACTCCGTCACAGTCCTTCCCTCCGTTCTGAGGCGCAGGAGCATTACACTCTCTCTTCCTCCACTGCGTGCACTCAGTGTTACACGCCGACCACTTGCTCCAGTCGGCCCACTCACCGTCAACTAAACACACACACACACACACACACACACACCAGAAACAACAAAAGTTAGCAGAAACAATTAGAAATTCTTCAGCTGTGATATGAGGCAGATTACTTTTTATTAAAGAGGCCATATTGTAGCATTTTATTTAATTCCTTGTCCATTAATATCCATGTTATGAATGGCTAACTTCTTTGCACGTGTAAATTAGTAATATTTCACATCATGCATATTACACACAGAAATTAAACTGAAAAATTAAATAAATAAATAAACCCCCCCCTCCATGGACCGCCTCATGCATTTTGCAATTGAATTGAAAAATACAAATAATAAATAAATATAATGCAACATATTTATATTTATAATAAATATAATACAAAAATAAAATAATGCAATATAAGATAAAATAAATAAGATAATAAATAAAGAATAATAAAGTAAAATAAAATAAATAAAAAAAACAAATATAATAAAATGAAATAAAGGTCCCCGTCATGGACCACCTCATGCATATCGGACACAAAATGACTCAAAACTGTAAATAAATAAATAAATACATACATTGATTAATTGATTACTAAAAATTCCCTGCCGTGGACTGCCTCATGCACACTGCACAAAAAAAAAAAAAAAAAATAAAAAAAAAAAAAAAA